GGGTACCCCTTTGAAAAATCTCGGAAAAATTGAAAATTTTTTTTTATTGAAAAAACATCGAATTCTATTCTGACGATTCTAAAAATATAATTATTACCTTCAGATACCAATAGAAAGGACGTGTGCAGACGCGTTTATAGAACCGCACTGGTGCGCTTGCCTTAACTGGCAGAAAATTCCTGGCGATGACGTAAACGTGATCGCTGCAGCGAAATACTTCATTCAATTTCTCAACAGTTATACGAGGGATCATCGTGACATATGCGAAGAATTAACATTGAAAGAGATTATGTGGTCGGCTAAACTAATACCAAATAAAGGTATGGAAATTTCGCTTATTCCTCTCATAGAATAGCGTCCATTTCTAAGCCTGAAAACTTGCAGACTTATTGAAGTTCCAAAAGTCCGGCGATCAAGACGGTTTCGTAGGAGATTTCAGTGCCAAGACTAAACTAAATACCGAGATTTACCAGTTGAAAGTAAAAACTATACCGGGCGACGGATTATTCGAAGTTAGCATTAGTTACGATATAAAAAAGAACAGTTTCTCGACCAAAGTAAGTCTTCTGTTATACTCCTAATTCCTATCCACACGATTTACACTCACTGGCTCGACATAGACTGCAAATTTCCAGTAAGAAAATTCAGTCTTACATAAGGTATAAAATGAGTCAGAATAGAAAAAACTGAATACATAATTTAACCTTTAAATGACTATACAAATGTGTATCTGGGACACGTCTTTTAAACTGATAAATATTTTGCTATACATAAAGATTAGAAACAGGGTGTCCCATAAAAATTGTTAGAGTCAAAAAGGGCTAATTCTGAACAACAATTTCCTTTGTTAAAATGCAAAGTGACGCATGGTTTTTGAATTATTAACGAAAAACACTGACCAATGAGAGCATGCATAAGACCTTAATGGTGTACATTGGGTTTTATGTATGTACAGATCATTTATATTACCGGCGTTAGACGACTTTTTCGTTTACACGTTGTATTCATATTTTATTTATTTAAGTCGATATGCGAGCACGCATTTAAACGAGGGAAACAGAACCAACTGATATTGCGTTCTGATTTAAGATATAATAACATGCCAAAGTGTATTTATTTTTAAATAGCTCAGGTGAGTTCTAATTAAATGATCTAGTGCATACGTGCCGGCACATATGTATAGTTGTGTTCCCGAGAGTCTAGGACCGTTTCGTTCAACTTAGAAGGTGGTCGCAGCGAAGTCCCTTCACACGATAAAGCATTGAAATTCGTAGAACGATCAAAAACTGAACTGTGTCCGATCCTAGACTCTCAGGAACACGAGTATAAGTACAATGTAAATAATGCACAACATAATCGAAGTAACCGATTACTTTTCCTATTAGATAACGAACACGTATAATAAATACAATTCACTTACGGTGTAAATTAATTTTTTTTTTTCTCATTGCGAAAGGCGGTATTCTCCGAATTGATGTAGAAACGTCGTCGTTTCGCGTGTAGTGCCATCGACCAGTAAGAAGCCAATATTTTGGGTGTGCGACGGGTCGGAAGGGAAGTAACCCTGCCCTCTGCTGTCTCTCGCTATTACGTTTAAAACTGTGGTACTGATCGACAAGTCTGTATCTTCTTTTTTTTGTACGCTAGCGTTGCGAGGAAATATAGTGAGCAAAACGAAGATAGTCGCTGATTTATTACAAGCATTTATCAACCTTATCAGATCCTTGTAAATGGCCCTAGTCGTTTCGATGTACGGATCTATAAAGTCTTCGTATTGGCACAGCACTCCGCCGAGTACGAGCATTCGGAAAATACGGAATATAAACTCATCGCGTTCGTCTTTTAAATATAAATTGTACTCCGGACACTCTTTGTCCAGTAACATCTACAAAAATAATTGAATTCGTGAATAATAAAATTTTGATGAATAATTATGACAGAATCGTGACGTACTCCTCTGAGATTGTCGGAGATCAAGAAGTTTTCTAATTCCGTGTCGTATCTTTTACAAATACTTCCAGACTTGTGAACGATCCCGTTTTTTGGGTCTTTTAATTTACTGAAGAACGACATGTTTAAAACGGAACAGGGCACAGGCTCTATTTCTACGGTCGATGCCGATATGCCTATTAATTATGAATACAATTATCGCGACGTTGATTTATAATTGAGATCGTTTCCTTACCTTGTCTTGCCCAACGATTTCCTTGTTTCGTCAATAATTCTTTCGACACGACACTGTCTTTAAAGAAAGCCTAGAAAAGTAGGAAAATTAAGTTACATTAAGTTATGTTTTACAGGGTGTCCTACAAAAAGTGCTAGAGTCGAAAAGGGGTCATTTTGAATAATAATTTCCTTTGGTAAAATGCAAAGTGAGGCATGGTTTTTAAATTATTAACGAAAAACATTGACCAATAAGAGCGCGTGTAGGGCCCGCGCTAAGCCACGGTCCGAACCATCCTATCCGTGGCTGGGCGCGTGCTCTCATTTAGAAACACTTACGAAATCATCTCTCTTCGGCTCTAATGCTTTTTCTGGGACACCCTGTAGAAGGAATGGGGAACCTTCAAATATTTCCTGTACAACTTCATCTTTCTATTATATAGATAAGAGACCCATTTACTTCCCCTAAACTGTTTTATATAAAATAACAAATAAATGTTGTGAAATTATTAAATAAAATACAGATGATTACTATGAAAATATTGTAAATCAGTCTGTTTTATTTCACAAGTAGTGGTTCAAAAAATAGCCTTTCGTATAAGAAATATTCCCCATCCTTGTCAGACAATAGTTAACTAACTTCGGCCAAATGGTATTTATGATACTGCTGGAATGGTTCGTTAAATGAAAAGTGCTGTACAACGTAGTTTCCTTTGATGCCCCTGTAATGAACAAGATAAACTATCAGATAATCATTGTGTGATTAATTGATTATAATTTGAAGAACTTAATTCTACAAAATCCTCACCATTTTGTAAGGCATTCTTGAGTCGCTTTGTCATTGATTCCGATCAAATTTTTTTGTGCCAAAGGCACAAACGTGTATCTGGGTTCAATCTCCATTTTTAAACAAACTCGATTGCCATGGAAACAATTCGAAATTGTCGCGTTCTCGCTAAAATGTCGGTAAGGTAGGTTCGCACCATTCAAATCGATTGCCACGGATGTTCCTTTCCCCTACCTTACTTCCGTCCCCCAAGTTTCGAGTTACGAGACTTACGAATTGACAATCGTTATCACTGTCAGTCGTTGTATAGTTGTATGAGTACGAACACGAAGGAAATTCTGCAAATTTCATGTTCTCTAATTAAAATGTCGTTTGTTAAAGAGGACAGCAGTGTGCTGATAATTTTAGACAGTGAACTGTCGCGCAACGATGTAGCAGGCTTGGTGAAAGAAGTCGAGACGCAGCTTAAAAATGCAGACCAATTGTCGATAGTCTCGTCGAAAGAGTTGCAGAAATGTACGTGAATTCTAACCTAAGGACAGACATTCTCTACGATTTAAATTCTAAAGACAAAATTTTACGAAATAATAGAAATTACACAGGCCAGCAGATAAATCTTCTGCTAAATTTATATCTGGCTTCTATCCACAATTTTTCATCATGTGACTTTCAAACTCTTCTGCTCTTTTTACAAATTAGAAAATTAGCAGAATATATTATAGAAATTAAATGTAAATTAATGTTACGATATGACCAGCACTTTTATTTAAATAAAAATATGAAAATGTTATATATTCATCATGACAAGTCATTTCTTAATGTCATCTTTTATGAATCATCAACAACTGATACTGAAAATTTCATTTCTTTAAATATTGAAATATAAATAGTTGAAATATAAATAACTGGCTTTTTATTGTCGTACTCAGAATCACTATACTAAAAATCAAAAGAATGAGGGAAATCATTAAAACAGTTTTTCATGATTGGCCTGTGTTATGCATCAGTTAATGAAAATAGTTTCCATTTTGCAAATGTGCAATTGCGTTTCTAGGTATTAATTCCTCTTCTTACGATGCAATTGTTTCTATCTTTAAACGATCGTGTCCGAATCCGAAAGTACTTCTAGAAGAATGTCTGCGAATGTTGAAACCTGGTGGCACATTAGTAATTTACGAATCGTTCCAACAAGAAGAGAACGTAAACTTAATTTATGACGAAAGAGTGTCGAACTTAAAATTAACTGGTTTCAAAGAGAAAGATCAAGAATTTTTCGATACTAGGAAGCTGAAAGATCTTTTAGTTAATGTATACAGTGATGTAGATTCCGTTTGTGAGGTGGTAGCAGAAAAACCAAGATTCGAGGTGAGTTCTATTAATTTAGGAACCATTCAAGAAATATTATAATAATTAATGGCATCGGTTTTAAAAAAATATTGAAATATATTAACATTTAGGATTCTGTAATTTTCTTATAAATTCATCAAATCTGTAATCTATCATACATTTACATCCATAAAAAATCCATCAGTTTCAATGAAATACATGTTTGAAATTTACGTAGATCGGATCTAGCGTGACACTTAATTTTGGCGAGAAAAAATCGTCGAATATCTGGAAACTGGATAACACCGTTGACGATGAACTGATCGACGAGGATGACCTTTTGGACGAGAACGATATTTTAAAACCCGAAGCGTCTAGTTTAAGGGGTAACGTTCAATACTTTTGTTTCCAGTCGATCTCGAGCAATTAATATTTATTATATAAATAATATATTATTGATCGATTTTTAGTGTGCGCTACCACGGGTAAAAGAAAAGCGTGTAAAGACTGTAGCTGCGGCCTGGCGGAGGAACTGAGCGGAAAGGCCGCACCGCAAGAGACACAGAAATCCTCTTGTGGGAATGTAAGTTTGTTCTCGCAATGTCAAAAGCACCTAAATATAGAATTGTTTGATATATATTTTTCAGTGTTATCTGGGGGATGCGTTCCGTTGCGCCAGCTGCCCATACCTCGGCATGCCCGCGTTCAAACCCGGGGAGAAAGTGGTTCTACCCGAGAGCCAATTAAAAACGAATTAACTCCGATTAATTTAATAATCACGCGTCATTACTATTTTCCATATTACACATCAAATCGCAAAGGATGATCTACTTTATTTCGTCTCCCCAGAGTGAAATACGTCGCGTTCAAAACGAGAAATGTACTTGAAATTTATGTAATAAAAGGATTTAAAATACGTACTCGTTTAATTACTTCTTTATATTTGTATACAATGAGGAATCAACGTGTGAACTATAATAGAATGATACAAAAAAAATAAAATATTCACATAAGCGTACGATCAATTTACGCTTTGGTGTCGAAATAAGATTTTAAGTACCACGAAATTATAATACAATTTGTTTACAGATCGATTAATTGTATTAAAGATATAAAACACGATAACAAAAAAGATAAAGAGAAGAAACTGAATTTCGCTACCTAATCTACGAACAATTGACTCGGGGTATATAAGCTTTTCACTATAAATCCACTATCCCTCCTCTGGAGATGAGTGCCCGTGAAAGGACTATATCCCGGCTTATCGTACAGGGCGTATCGCACCTTGTATCATTCTATTTGAGCATAAAATTGGAATCCGACAAACGATACAAATATTTATACCGGTACAAAAGCTTGTCGATTGGTGGCCATTTAAAATAAATAATTCGATTCTCGCAGTGTGCAGGAACAAAATTAAATCGCTCGGTCTACGTTAAACAGGAACATCGCTCCGCGGTTTAATCGAACGTAAAAACTAACGAAATTATGTAAGTTTAGAATCGCTTATAGCTGCCGCACGATCTTTCATATAATAGCCCCGTTCCCCTTGTTACTTTCCTGGTTTTCACTATACATTGGTTTATCTTTTCGATGCGATAGAGACGCGTTTGCGACGATCACTCGATATAAGCATTTTAAGAAATTCAATTCGTTTATAATGAAAATAAAGAATCGTCGAAGTTGTCTTGAAAAGATTGTCGGGCTTATATCGAGAAATCGTGTTTCTTATCAACTATATTATTATCGTATATCTGAAGTACTATGAACTTAATTCTATTTCGAAACGATCTTTGAAATCATATTACATAATGTCAATCATGTTACTTAAACGGTGTGACAGTGTTACGTGTAACTTTGGTGTAAATTTACAATCTTTAAGTAGTTATTATATACTCCGTAAAAATTAGCTACCGTTTGCAGTTTATAGTTTAAGTATAAAGAGAGCGATGTAGTATAGGTAGAGTTTTTTTTTTTATGGAAGCAGTGAAAGAAATTATTTCGATGACGTTATGTTAAATTGTTCGTATGTTACTTTCGCTCATTTTCATATGTATGTATGTATATATGTATGTATGTATGTATTTCTATATAGCTATTTGTACTCTATCTTGAGAATCAAGAGATTACAGAGAATCCTCCAATAGGCGAACGAATTTCAATATAAATGATGCAGTTTTATTACAAACGTTATATACGTTATTTGCACCATACGAGAAATAAATAAATTAGAATGATCTAATGCATGCAAGTTAGATGATTGGTATCGATTCGTTTTATCCGAACGTAATGAAATTTGTTAGGGTAATTATTATTATTCGTCTAAATTCATCTTTTAGAAACGTTGAGCAATTATTAAGTAATTAAGGCATGTACCGCTTTGGTTGCACTCGGAATTAATGTACAACATGTGCTCTTAACAAACGTGTGGATAGAAACGAACGAGGAACGAACGTACATAGACACGAGAGTCTAGACCGAGTAATGCATTTTTATTCTATAAAAGAGAGAGAAAACGCGGTTCCAAGGAGGAATAGAAAGAAAATAAACTTCACCATTAATTTTCTTTCTTTGGTCTCCCATTCGACTCGGTCTATTCTCGTACGTCTAATTATCAAACTAATTATTTCTACAAATTCTATATATATAATTATTTATATATATATATATATATATCTTTCTCTGTCATTTTTATACATCAGGATATTAAAAAATTGCGATCGAACTGAGGAGGATTTAAAAAAAAAAAAAAAAAAATATAACTAATTAAATAAACATTTGTATTAGCTTTACCGTGTCTAAAGGAGACAATTTACGTACGAACACAGCCCTACATGACGTAATAAAAATGAAGAGTCCTCGAACCGAGCTTTGGTTTTCGTTCACTCGACTGTACCATCGTGTTCCCGCAGATCGCGTCAGCATTGTCATCGATCATAACGATAATACTACCCCGTCCGGTGGCGTGTACAGCCGCGTGGTTCCGCGCAGGGTGGCGGACCACGGCATCGCCGAGCACGTTAAGTCTTCGGCAATCGACGCGTCGTAACGTTAGTCTATGCTACCACGTGATCTCTTCCATGTTATCGAGTAAAGAGTTCTTCTCTTCTTTCTTTTGTTTAGTACCGTTCTGTTCCGGCGCCGCGGCACGCAATTTCGGTTCGAAACATGGCTGGAAAAGACAAAAGTCCGAGTAACATCAAACTCGTTTACAAAATTATGCTCCCCCGAAGATGCAAAGCGCGATATGGATGAAGTCTATCGACTGAATGGTGCTCGGGTTTAACTGATCATATCTCGGGTCAACGTAAAAATTTTTTATTCATTATGGCTAACAGTAATGCTATAAAACNAATGTAATAAAATATTTCATCGATTCACAAAAGAAATATTGTAATAAATAACACTAAAGATGTATATTTTTGGGACATGTGAAATGTTTGCGAAAATTGGCCTGCCAGAACTACCTTAAAAGAGGATTGATAATTTATTAAAAGTGATGTACCTGCAAATAGCAGCGATGCTAGTAGGAACTGTCTCATCGTTTTCACAATAATTTTTACAAATTTCAGTCGTATCGTTTAAAATCTCGCAACGATCGCCCACGAAATATTTACATTTACAAACTGGTTTCTCGTTTTGGACGGAGCACTGACCGTCGTGCAAGCAATAGTCTTTGCACAGGTCTGTTTCACATCTTGGTCCAACAAACGTATCGTTACACTTACACGTGGGTAATCCGTCATCGTTTATATCGCAGCTGCCTCTAAAGCAGTAATTGTGACAGAGGTCCGTTTCGCAATAATCGCCAGTGTACCTGAAACGTCACGATTGTTTAGTCAAACGAGGGTAAATAAAACGCTTATATATTCGTCGTTTTTTCGACCCGTTGACACCGATTTCACGAGGCGTCAAAGTATGGATTTAAATTTTTACATACCCAAGTTTACACTGGCACGTGGAATTTCCTCTGTCCAAACGACCATCGTTCAGGCAGTATTTGGACGACTCGGTGGTCGGTTCCGATTCCTCCGTGCTGGTCGTCAGATTAATATACGACTCGCCACGTTGGGCGTACGTCAAGCCCGTTAAACTGGTCTTGTGCTTCGTTTTCGACATCGCCGCGCAATCTAGTTTGCCGACATTGTCGCGAGCCAAGATCCCAGCTGGTATCGCGTCTAAGTATTTATCCTGCGACCCGAACATGCTCGGCTCGACTACAACGTCGTCGGGTTTCATAGTTTTCGGCAGTGTCCAAACGACTTTGTGCACCGTGTCGGACCAGTATATCGAGTTCCGGTCCACGGCCATGTAACTCGGCCGTTGTCGTTTTGGATGAGCTAAGAGTTCGCGCTTGGTACCATCGAGATTACTCCGTTCGATCTTGATCCGTATTCCCTCGACGTCATCGATCCAGTACAATTTCTCCTCGATGTGATCTACCGCGACGGCTATCGGCTCGTGTAAACGTTCGCTGATTACCGTCGTGCGATTGCTACCGTCTAAGTTCGAACGTTCGATACTAGGACTGCTGGTACTGCTGTCCACCCAGTATATGTGTCTGGAATGCAACAAGTATCATTCACTTCTGTTCATTTTTTAACTATTTCTGGGAAACTTAAAGTATCTCTAAAGGGAGGATTCTAGTCCTTCAGAAAATAATTTCTTTAACACTAGAAAGACTGAAACTTAGTATATACCTATATTGCCCAAAACCAGTCAAAATGACTGCATTGTGAAAGAATAATGTGTAAAGAAATTTGTCTAAAATTAATTTTTAATATTTTTTATATTATTTACAGTCATATAACAAGTTATTAGTAAATGTTAACAATAAAAAAAATTTACTTCACTTGGGAAAAAAAATAATTTATGCATTATTATTTGTACATTTGCCCAAAACCAGTCAAAATGACTTCCTTGGGCAATCTAGTGTTAATCAGGTAAAATGTCTCGTAAGGACAATCTCGTTTAATTTATTAAAACGGTATTAGTTCGGCGCAGATTGCCTCCCGTGTATATTCAACAACGAAGTTCTATGTAGGACATGATAATGGCACACCTGTTACATACGTCCAGAGCGATACCGCGTGGTACTCGCGTCTTCAAGTCGTGTAGAATCACCGGCCGTTCCGGTGGCTCATCCACCGGCACTTGCATTCTCATGATACTTCCTTGTTTCGTGTCACTCCAAAACAGGGTTCGCGTCCTCGTATCAAACGCGAGGCCTAGGATACTACTTTCTTCTTGTCCTGAGAAACAAGAGCGATCAGTCTCATT